AATACACCCATAACACATTGAATCAACAATGTTTTTACGAGTCAAAATTTTGTTGAAAGTAGCACTTTCTTGGAGGGATTCGGGAATAGTTGTTGTGTTCTTTTCTAAACGTTTTAAGCCCATGAAATTTTTAATGTGTACTTTGGAACTTTCATGTAACTTTGCACTTGGGATGAAATTATTTAAATCGTTATATCCCGGGTCGACGTCCTATAAATATTACGGCAGAGCCATTTTATATGTTTCGTACCAAGTTGATTTAAAAAACTTGGAGTACTGACGATTCTGTCGCTTATCAATGGAAGTTAAATGAATTAACGGTTTTGACTGCTCGATATTTAGCAAATTTGCCGATGTTCTAGCTCGGTTCGCCGTGAAAACGGCGTTTCAAGAAGCAACATGACGACGTCGTACTCGGGATTCATTTTTCACTCACCTGTACCTATGAAAGAGACAATAACACAAAACACCAACACGTGGGTTTTTATTCACGTTCATGCTAATTACCCACGCACCCCGCAACCCTACCGTTCTGTAAAATAAATGGAAAAATGGTTTAATGAGTACGCCGAAATTGGCCGAGAAGCACTGAAGATATCGCCTCAGTTCCGAGCGAACGCATGTATAGGAGTATAGGAGCTGAGCCATCGAAATCCGTGTCTGTGACTGGGCTTCGCTGGTTCAAGTGAACCGACGTTCTGGCCGCTTCAGTTAAAGAACTAGGGGCATAAATCGTACGGTATTCAACGGAAAATGTCAGTAGGAAGCGTAAAAAATAAAAAATCATGTACAGATTTCCCCTTTCAACATATTTTTGTAACTAATGCATTGAAAACTCTTTTTTAATTATAAATTAAGTCAATCTGTTCTTAAGATATTATGCTGTGAGGCGCCGCCTCACTTGCCTCATCTGACGAGCCGCCACTGATAGAAGTTAACATAAATTTTATATACAATTGTTCTTAACAACGCTGCAAATCAACAATACACAGTTAGGTTTAAATGTATAAGATTAAGACTAATAAAAAACAAAGTTTTGAAATCACAATATAAATTCTAAGCAAAATTTTACAATGACATCATGCGATTCTTGGCGAGGATGAACAGAAAAAGTCACAGTTTAATAGTTTCAGAGAATATTTGTCTAAAAATTCGCTAACAAACAGATAAAGGCGAACGGAAAATCGACATTTTCGTACTCCATAAACTGGGGAATGTCCAGAAAACAAGAAATGAAAGTTTAGTTAATATTACGTTTGGAAATTAAGAACATTCTAAAGTGAAACTGTTTTCAATTAAAATGATTGTCTCAAAGTTTTGGCTAATTTAGTGAACTTTTTTTAATTGTAGTTAAGTACTACCCAAATAGGAAAAAAATTTGAAATTTACATATTTAATTTATTATCTAATTGCAGGGACGTGTAAAACGTAAAGACGGTCGTAATCTGATAAAAGTCAAAATTGGATTTCATGTTTTTGAATTTGTGTTTGAATTGTATGTGACATTCGTAATTTCTTATTCATCCACACAACGCGAAAATTATGTTCTGCAATGAGTAATGTTGGTGGTCTTTTAATTAATTTACCGTGTGATGTGTCGATGAATAAAAACTCTGCAAAAAATTTCTGATACGGTGTCCGGCGAGAATTTTTTATTCGTTTTTCGTGTTACGCAAAGAAGTTCTGTCGGTTTTGACTTTGTTGACGGCGTGTGCGGTGTACAAATTAGTTTAAGTGGTTTATTTTTATTAAAAATAATGTGTTTTCGGGCTTAAAGTGAAAAGTGAGTGTTGTGATGTGCCCATGAGGAAGGAGTTTGTAAGGATCGGCGCGAAAGGAAAGGAAATCAGGATTTAAAGTGTAAGTATTGTTGAATAAAGCGATACATAAAGCCTAATGGCTTATTATTCGTTGTATTGTGCCTTATTTCTTCAGTTCTTTTATTCTAAATTGATTTAAAAATAAAGACATTAAGGGAGAATTAGTTGTGACGGTTACTTAACGACTTAACAAATATGTTTGTTTCAACAAAACTCAAACGTATCTCGTCAGATATTTATTCTTTAAAATTTCTTTTTAGCTGAAATAATTTGAAATATCCAATTAGTTTTTATCAATTTTAATTAAATTAGAAAGCTTAATTTAAATACGTGTTTCGAAAATATTTTATTCTTCTACAATTAATGACAACATAAAATTCAAACCTTTTCACCAGTTCAGTCAAAATATTCACGTAAAACACTTTCATATGGGGTGTTCCAACGGTCAAAGGGCGGAAAATTAAACATTCGCTGTAGACTGCAGAAAAAAATCTTCCAGGCAGTTTAATAGAGCTATAATTTAAAAGTATTTTCAAACATACAGTGTTCTGTTTAAGTTATACAACAGAGCGCTGTTTACTTTTGGAGCGATTGTTAGGAAAGTATTATAATACAATCACTACTTTCATGTTTTCTCAACGTTTTATAACATAAAATATAAAAAAGAGGTCCCCCGTGTCCGTCTGTTTATTGCTGATCGGATTTTATTAGACAGACAATGTCCGAAACTACTGGACCGATTGTTGTGAAGTTCATATTCTGTACCTGAGAGCTAACTAGTCGTTAGTCCAGAATCCATTTAGATTTAGAAAACAGTAAGAAATTATAACTTTTTTAATTTTTATTTTACATTACACTGAGAAATACATAGATCTTTTGGAAAAGATCAATCAAAATTTGTAAGGTAAGAATTGTTTAATCACAGATTGCTACTATTTTTATAAAGCTAAGGAATTTAATACTTTTTTGCTCTAAAAAAAATACAATTTATTGGACTTGAGCATAATTTTATTTTCAACGTAATGTACCTAAAAATCAAGATATTTGAAATATTAAATGAATATTTTAAATATTTTTTATAGTTTTGGAAATTTCATTCTACCCTATAAAATTTTATTGGCGAGACGGACAGTAGTATAATAGCAAGAGATATTTATAACTTAAGTTGTCGCGTGCCGATAATCCCCAGATGTTAGAAAGCAGAATAATCTAGGTCCGGACAGGGACCATCGTTACTCATGAACGAAAGTGACCATTATTTTATGAGTACAACTACCTGCTAAATGTTCACAGACAAATTCGAATGAACTGGTGTGAGCCATACCTAAATATTTCTTAACATGGTACTACTGTCCGTCTCGTTGTCGTCAATAAAATTTTATAGGGTAGAATGAAATTTCCAAAACTATAGCTTTCAACATCTTTTGGCTTTTTTAGTAGGCTATTTATCTGATCATTCCTAATTCCCCACCAACAATTTGATGACGTGGTCTTAAAATTTTGGATAGTAAACTTTATTTAAAAAATAATATAATACTTGTGGGTTATAAATCCGCCCTAAACATACAGATTTTTGGGACAAACATCAAAATTGTATAACAAATGCAAATGAGTCTACTTGTGGTTTATCAATGCATTTATGTTTTTTAGAACTGTTTTACGGGGTGACTCAAAGAAATTAATGAATCAGACAATTTATTTTATTAATCAAATCAAGAATGGCTCACGCTATTTTCTCAAAAATTGTAATAAAATAGTATATACTGTTATTATCAGTAATACAGTGTACCTATCCAGAGTATAAACAATGGTAATACCATATGATCGAAAAAAAGTAATAAGGCATGACATTTATTTTTAAGATAATGATATAGGCAGCACAGTTATTTGACACTTTATTTGACCGTAAATCTCAAACGGAACAAGGGACGCTTTAGCACTGCCAGAATAAGTTTCTGAACATTGTTGATTTCCATAACTCACTGTTACATCCAACCCCACAGACAAAAATCACACGGATTGAGATCGGGTGAACGCGGAGTCCACGAATGTGAATTTGAGGCTTGAAGGCGGGCCAACCTGGCATTTCCATCAACCACACCATAAAGCATTACCATGTCGACATGCTCTCAATTTGAAAAAATCATCATTGTCAAAGACGTTAACCGAACACACGATTGCAACCAACTGATACATGACTGGCCCTTATTTTTCCATTGAATAGTAGTTATGGTAAGTCAAGAAACACTACCAGTGGAGTATATAACAATGTATATTAAATTTCAAACAATTTTTTGTAGACATTGCTACCACTCAGGAACGTGAACTTTACACAGTCTTATTGTGAGCTATTCCCTATATTTTTTTTTTTTTGTTGCACAGATTTCGATATTACCTTGTATAGTCTACTTGGCGTTAATCCCTCATATCACTATGATCAAACAGTTTGGAAAATTTACAAGTAATGTGATATGTTCCTCATAGAACAGCTTTTTGAATTTTGACAAGGACTCTAATTCGTTTAAATGTCAAAATTTACTTATAACTACACTGTAAATATTTAGGATTAGGTTATTATTCAGATTATCTTAACAGTCTGAATGAGTGAACACTATGACAAAAAAAGTCTTTAGAATTATTATCTGTTAGCGGAACTAAGTAGTTTAAAACGAAGATTTGGGGAGAAAAGTGTATTGGAATAGGTCAACCGACTTTTTCCTACCATTTTGAGTCACCTGTATATGAAATGTTTTTAAAACATCATGGACCAGTCCGATTAAATTAAAATTATCTTGTTGTGACCAAAATTGTCCCATACGAACCATTATAATGATAAAAAGACGATATTTGGCTTTTCGTCATCCAAAAAAGCTCTGCACTTGCCAGTTGGCCAATTACCGTCCCATGCAAGGATAATAATGTCATTACCTTTACCATCTAAACTTTTGGTGCTGTTTGCGTCTGAAAAATGCCCATAATAAAGTCTGCCGCATGTAGGAAGATGTATGTAAATGCTGTACCCTGTTATTTACGCAACTCAATGGATAATGCATTCAAAAAGACGAATCGTGGGTGTATGACCCTATTGTTGGTGGTTAAGCCTCGAGCACGCTTGCGCGCATCAACGCCGCGACATGCAATGGGTAGATTCAGTTTCAAATGTTTATTTCGGTCGCGACTGTCATCGGAGCGAGATCACGCAACACCCACGCACAACCATCGTCCGCACCTGCTCAAGATCCAGCCGATATTCCGACAAAATGTAGGGATTTTCGGGATCCCTTCGAATGTCCCGCCGGGAAAAGCGAAAAACTGTGGAAATTTCAAAAATTTCAGCGGAAACGATTTTCGTGCCGTTTCCGGAAACTTTGGTGCCGATGTGATCGAACGTGCAGATTTTTATGTGTTACAAACAGCCTGCTAACCGGAAAAAGGAAGCATGCTTTGCATAGTACTGGGTTGTGGTGTGAAGCTACATTATTAAAGGTCAGTTTTCACATTTTTCAATTGCGAAACTGATGCTATTATTAAAATATATCTGTTTATCTGAAAAACTTTTTCACGTTTGATTAATAACTGTTTTATTTACGATAAAAAATTTAAGAGGAACATGAGGAAATATTAGTTTTAAATCTTACAAAAAAAAAAGAACAATTCGCATTTATACCGGTAATTGTGTAATCTTCAAATAGCGCCGTAATTGCATTACTAATATTTACAATATAGTGTCATTTAAAATTTAATAATTACGTTTTAAAGTGTCCCATGATAATTGTCTTCTATAATCCGTTGGTTAGAAACTTCACCAGTTTCATCACAACTTATTTGAAAGAAAATCAAAAACTTAACAGATGCAAGTAAATTAGACTGGTGAGATGGAACCAACATTTGCACTCAGTTTATATTGGTTGAATTTTATGTTGTCATTACAGAGTTAATCAAAAGTTTGAGGGTAAAACTGTTCGTCCTTTTTTATAAGTTATTCATTACAACTTTGTTTGAACTCTATTCCGAAATTACATGTTCATTAAGTATTAACAATATCTTTGGAAACTTTCAAATACACGGTGGAGTGTTTAAATTTGACGTGTATCTGTTGGTCGTATATATTTATGATGTTTTCGTAAACGTTTTACAAGAAAGTCTTTAACCTAAAAGCATTAGAAATTTTTTGAGGCTTGACGCAAACTGTTATTTACATATTTTAAATAATTTCTTGTCGCTAGTGCCTTTTCCAGAGTTTTAATAAAAGTGTTCTTAAAACATTTGTAGTCAGTTGCTTTAGTAATTTTTATGGATTTACTATGAGGGATAGAGTAAAAAAAATATTGCGCAATGTGTGTTACTATGTGATGATTACTTGTTGTTTTTGTTTGTTTTATAATAATTAATAAATAATATAAGATTTTTAACTGTGTAAAAAAATTAAGTGTCTTGACCAGGGGAGATGAAAGTAACAAATAAGTATTAAAAAAATATTTGATCAAAAAAGAATTTGCAAAAGTCAAATTCGGTCATAAAATGTAAAATTGTATCAAATCTGAGTACCTATTTACTGTTTATTATAAGAAATCAAGATTGCATTTTTTAATTATTTCGTAAAGTGTAAGTTTAAGAAAAGTTTGTCAAACTCTAATTTGATAATAATAATCTTTTATTTGTAATATTTTTCACACCAAGGTGTTGTTTATATGTGACTAATATATAACTTTTTATGTTCATTGTACAACATACCCGTGTATAGTAATGTAGGCCTATATGCGACAAATTAATATATTTTAAGTAAGTACCAAAAAAAATTAGAGGATACAGTGATATTTTAAGCAAAATTTCTCTGTTTTCCAAATTTCGGTTTTTTGAAAATTACAAAATTATAATAATATTGTCAGCAAATAGTGTTAGTAAATTTTATAATTTTTAACAACTCTGCAGTGTAAATAAAAAAGAATAGGCCCTAAAATTGAATCCTGCTATACTCCAGAGTTGTGCTAATTTTTTTATCATATGACAGACCTCAATGTGTTTATGTTTTATTATCAAGGTGGGTCTGCTATTATTTTGTAAACTCGCCAAACCCTATTGCCAACTCTGATCAAGTCTGCTTGGTGTTAATTTACCCAGATCAATATGATCATACTGTTGGAGAATCCCCATAGCATAAATTTTTGAATTTTGGCAATCACTGTAGATATTTTTTGGTCATCTTTTAAGTTAAAAAAAGTTCTACAGTAACATCTAGTTTGATAATAATATGTTTTGTAATATAGGAAAACAGTAGTCCAAGGGCTCATTTCTCGCCATAAAAATGATATGATAAATTAATATCGTCGTACATTTTTGAAAAATACTCTGCGTTTTTGTAAGACAAATGGACATTCTAATCCATAGGCCTCTGTTTTTAAGTATTACGTAAGTCCTGTGTTTCTTTATCATTTTATTTTTCGTTTTCAATTGTATTTATAGTGCAAGTCAACATTTTTAACCACTTTTAGGTGAAATATCCGGAATTTTTAAAAAGTTACGAGTTTTTATGACTCATCAAAACCACCCTACTGCTTTGATATGTTTATATTAAATTACGGCAATTAAATTCGTTTTTATGATTTCTCAAAAAAATGCCCCTTTTGTTGTTATATTTTCATACTTATATAATTTTGATAATAACTCGACTTACTAAAATTATCGAATGTTGGAACTATGTTTCTCTTCATTTAATTATGTAAATAAAAAAAACAAAATAAAAAACAAACAGCGTAAAAAAATGCAAGTAAACCCATGAATGTTTCGAAACGCTATTTTGTCGCACGGTTTAAACATTTACATTGACATGGACAGCCAATTAAGTAGGTTATGTTAAAAATGGTTTCGGGTTCGTGAGTTTTTGATATTTGCATAAAACGATTTCAATGCCACTAATTCCGCCAATATATCATTCATTGTAAAACTTTTCATGTGGTTATTCCCGGTTGACGCAAAACGGGGTGTCCCAGCCACAACTCTTATGAGGTTTTTTTTTGAAGAGCTTCTCTTATATGGATGATTCGCTGAAAGAAACTTCCAATTTCACCCATGACAATTTTCTGGTGGTCAAAATTAGGCTCCCAATTTCTGGGAAACAGAAGTGCAATCCCAGTCATGATCTTACTAAAACTATCCCGATAAAACTTCAGGATAACATAGGTTAACTTAGCATCAAATAGTCAGAAAGTGGAGACACATGCAAACGCTATTCCTGTATCTACTAAAATTGTATTACCTTAAAGTTAAAACGATAATAATTGTGTAAACAGGACAGGTTGAATCCCACACCAGGGACGTACTTTTAAAATTTCAGTATGCCGTCAAACATTTAAAACTTGTATTTCGTTGCAAAATATCTTGTATATGTAATTAGATTAATTAGATTTTGGAACATGGAATCGGAAATTAACCCGAGAAGAAAATTAAATAGTGTTACCATAAGGATGATTTTTTTTTGCCTGATTCTGGCATCTGTTAATTGGTCTAGGAGATAGCCTTAACATGCCACCATTGGTATACTGGGAGTTTCAGGTTGCTGATTTTGTTTCAGACCTATCCTGTGAGTACTTTTCACAATATTATTATCAATAAGCCTGTAATAAAATTACACTACCTTAAAGTTTTGTTCCAGGGGCTATATAACTCATATCTAGCTTGATAAAGCTTGATAAAAAGATAATAATAAAAGTCTCCCAAAGCCACATATTGGTCTGTCTTCCTGATAATAAAATAAAAGAGAAATAAATGACATATATCGAACGAGGTAACCGACGTGATCTCGACCTTTTTCTATCTTTTCGTTAAATCAAATAAAGTCAAGATCCTCGAAAGAATTAAGAAATGGTGGGATAAGAAAATTCATTACGATATTACTTATATTTTATTCTAAGTTTTATTGTAAGAAAGTAATTGCGCATCACTAATATGTAGAACAAAGTTCTATGCAGGAAGAATTGACGTAGTCGACTTTAATAATATAATACTATTAATCATAGAACCCTTTAGGGTTGACAATTCTGTGTTATCTCCGTAATTTGCTGTCGAGATGTTTGATAAATTGCATATGAAATTCTGGAAGAATAAATTACTTACATGTATAAGCATATGCACCTCCTCTACTTCAACAAACAGGAATTTTTCTGCTTTAATTTAAATCAATATTTATTAGTTGAACGTTTCATAAAAGCCTGGTCAATTAAAGCACGGAAATTATCACTAAAGATCACGTATTTATTAGCAATGTTCTATTGAGTACAAACAAGTTGGTTACAAATTGCTGCATTCTAAAATTAAAAAGTTGAATTCCTAATTGAACGAGTGTCAAGCACTAATTAGCACCACCATGAGGGTAGTTTTTATAGATCCTGTTATAAAATAGTAATTTAGCATTAATTCTGAATAAGTATGTAAAGTTTAGGTACCTTCTGTGCACAGTTGCTAACTTAGTTGCGCTAAGTTTGTTTATTAAATACCAACTTTGAATTATTGTAGTTCGCTCTAATTTCAAGTTGGATTAAATGCTACAAGACCTCAAACATAGTTTTGTTTAGGATCTTTTGTGACATGTGGAATCAGTGCGGCTTGTGTATGCAACTTGAAAGAATTTCCGTTTTCGCTAGTGTTCGTGTTCGCTGACAAACTTCTACAGTAGGTTGCGGCATAGGCGGTACAGAAAAATTATTTGCATTATTTTTTGGAAATGTACAGATTTGCATAACGTCTGAAATAATATAAATCATTTGTAAAGAGAATTTGCAAAAAACTTTTCCAAAATATTCTCGATGGAAAGAAATACTACTTAGTTCTTTTTTAGAAAAATGGAACAATTTTAATATTACGAACAATTTTATTATATGTTTCCTCTGCTACAGTTTCATTGTACTTCCAAAATCTTGTGTGAATGACTTCTTTTCTTTGGTGCTTCTCTTCGTAGGCGAGCCATTTGTGGTTTTGTCAGTAACAAATTTATGACAGCTAAAAAATCTGTGTATTTAATATATTATTATTATTCCATGAAAAGTGAAAAGTGAATTTTTGGTAACTTTGAAAATGTCTTCGTGCCGTTTTAATATATAAAAAAACCGAGTAAAAACATTCTATTGTTTCGATTACAACAACAAAGAGAAAATGCAACGATGATTAAGTAAGGTATTCCTTGACGTTTATGGATATGTGTTTTTTTTTCAGTGATGTCTCAAAAATGCGTTTTGCAATAATTACTTTCAAATTTGGCATATACTTGTTATTAAGTCAATGTAAGACTTTTTCAGCGATAATCACATAAAAGGAGCGTAACTGAAAACTGGTTGAACAAAATAATATGGAACTGTGGTCCATAAGTGACGACTTGTTTAATTGGAATCAATACTTACATAGTGGAATAAGGCAACATTTTTTTACTCTTAAGTTTATGCAATGTTTGTGTTTTTTTCATTGCCAATTATATGATGTTGGAAATGGTAACA